CCAGCCTTTTCTCCCTTCTTAGTCTCTCCCTACCCCTTCTTTTCAGCTTTATGTGTTGTCTTCTCCCATTAGATTGTGAGCTCCTTTCTTTTAAACTCAACATATAGCTCAATGTCTGGCATAGCAAGCACTAGTAATGCTTATTGACTGACTGACTGACTGACTGACCTCCAAGAAGAAGCCTTTCCTAGTCTCCCTACTGCTAGTGTCTTTCCCCTGAGATGACCTCTTCTTTACAATTTATATATCTTGTATGTATCCAGTTGTTTCAGTCCTGTCCAACTTTTCATGACTTCATTTGGTGTTTTCTTTTCTTTTCTTTTCTTTTGATTTTTAAATTTTTTTTTCATTTGGTGTTTTCTTAGCAAAGTGGTTTGCCATTTCATTTTCCAGCTCATTTTACAGATAAGGAAACTGAAGCTAACAGGGTTAAGTGGCTGGCCCAGAGTCACACATCTGTTAAGTTTCTGAGGCCAGATTTGAACTCATGAAGATGAGTCTTTCTGACTTCGGACCTGGCACTCTATCCAGTGTGCTACCTAGCTTCCCCTTAAGGTGTCTACTGAATATCCATTTTGAGATATTTTAAAGGTGGTTGGATATGGGAGATTGAAGGTCAGCAGAGAGATTGGGGCAAGATAGGTAGATCTGATAATCATCAACACAGATATGATAATAAAATCCATTAAAGCTGATGAGATCACCAAGTGAAGCAATATAAAGGAAGAAGAGAAGAGGACACAGGAAAGACCCCCTGGGGACACCTACATATCTGGACCTGACATATCTGGTCAGATAGGTGGGAGGAGAACCAGGAGAGAGTGGTGTCCCAAAGACCTAGAGAGAAGAGAGTATCAAGGAGGAGAGGGAGGTCAACAATGTCAAAGGCTGCAGAGAGGTCAAGGAGAATTAGGATTAAGAAAAGGCCATTAGTTTGGCAGCTAAGAGATCATTGGTAACTGGAGAAAGCCGTTTCGGTAGAATGACAGGATACATACTACTTGTACCACCCTGGGCAAGCCATTTAATCCCTCAGTGCCCCCTTGGCAACTCTCTAAGACTGCCTCTAAGACTTTCAGTTGCAGAATGGTTGCTGATCTGCATTGGTAGAGTTTATCCCTGAGCTCCCCCCCAAAACCAACAACAAAAAGCATACACTACATGATTATAAGGTGTGTGTATATAATTATATAGCTATATTTAGGTACATATAATATGTATTAAAAGAGCTTAGAGAAAGAATAGATTATGTTAGACTGGAGTATTTAGGGAAGGCATCCTGGAGACGTGAGATGTGAAATGGGCTGCTGTCATCGGTCGGTCAACAAGCACTTATGATATGCCAGGCATTGTGTCTTATAAGTGCCAGAGATAGCAAGAAAGGCAAAAACAAGCCCCCACCTTCAAGGAACTCGCATTCAAGTGGGGGAGACAACATGCAAACAGCTACACACAGACAAAATAAATAAAATGTAAATGGGAAGCAATATCAGCAGAGGGTACAAACGGCAGGGATGGAGGGACCAGCAAGAAAGACTTGGGGAAGGTAGAATTTGGGATGAATCTTGAAAGAAACTAGGAGGCAGATATGAGGAGAAATAACATTCCAGGCAAAAGAGCCAGTGAAAACAAATGGAGTCCCAAAATGGAGCAGCCTATGTGGGGGGAGCGACAAGGAAACCATTGTTGTTGGGTATTAAAATAGAAGCATGCTGGAAAAGTAGGAAGCGGCCAGGTAGTGAAGGGCTTTAAAAGCAGTGGGATTTTATATTCAAATGAAAAAAGCCATTCTATAGGTGGGAGAGAGAGTATGAGCAAAAGCTTAAAGGCAGGAAGAACATTAAATGTGTGGAGGACAGTATAAGAGACCATCTTTATTAGAGGAGAAGGTGGGTGTTGGAAAGTGGTAGGATAGATGGCGATGAGGACAAATTGTAGAGGGTCTTCAAAGCTTGTGGTATAGACTTTGCCAGGCAATAACCATTGTAATTTATTGAACAGGAGCGTGACATGATGAACGCAGTTTTAGGAAGGTTCATTTGGTAGGAGTATGCAAAAGAGAGGAAGCTAATTAGGGTGATTATAACTCAGATGTGAAGTGGTAAAGGCTTGTTCTAAGATTGTGACAGTTGAAAGAAGAAAGGGCTGATTTGGAGGCATTTTGAAAGAGAAGTCAATAGGAATTGGTGGCTTAAGATATATGAAAAAAGAATCACAGAATTTTAGAGCTGAAAGGGAGTTAGTCCTGGGATTCTTTCTTTAAAATTAATTTATTTATTTTTAGTTTTCAACGTTCACTTCCATAAGCTTTTGAGTTTTAAATTTTCTCTGCCTCCCTCCCGTTTCCCCTCACCAAGATGGGGCACAGTCTGATATAGGCTCTACATATACATTCTTTTTAAACATATTTTCATTAGTCACGTTGTAAAGAATTAAAACCAGTAGGAGGAACCACAAGAAAGAAGAAACAAGACAAAACAGAAGGAAAAAAGAGCAAATAGTATGCTTCGATCTGCGTTCAGACTCCATAGTTCTTCTTCTGGATGTGTATAGCGTTTTCCATCATGAGTCTTTTGGAGTTGTCTTAGATCCTACTCCTGGGATTCTTAACCTTTTCCATGTCATGGGACTCTTGGTAGTCTAGTGAAGCCTATAGACCCCTTTTCAGAATAATGCTTTTAAATGTGCAAAATTAAATGTTTAGGACTACAAAGGAAACAAATTATGACAAAATAGAATTAGCCAAATATTAAAACAAACAAATTCATAGACCCCAGGTTAAGAATCCATGATCTAGTCTGGCCTTCTCCTTTTACAGATGAAGGAGCTGAGGCCAGTGAGGTCAAGGGAGTTGTACAAGGTGATATGTCTTCTGAGTGACAGATTGGTGGCCAGTTAGTTCTGCTAACTTCGAGCCCAGTGGTCTTTTTTGCTTCATGATACTGCCTCCTAAGCACCTGAAAGAATTACAGAGGACTGCAATATGGCCACATAAGATTCTAGAGGGATATGTTCAGGTGTGCTCTTCTTACAGATACCTGTCTGGAATAGCTGTCCCCCTTAACTAGCATCCTGTCCCTTCTTGTCTTTGCCTCCCTGCTGCTCTGGCTTCCTTCAAGTCCCAGCTAAAATTCCATTTTCTATGAGAAGCCTTTCCTGATCCTTCTTAATGCTAGTGCCTAAATTTATCCTGTCTCTATCCTGTTTGTATATAGCTCTTTTCATGTTGTTTTCTTCATCAGACCGTGAGCTTCTTGAGAACAGGGACTCTTTTTTGCCTTTCTTTGTATCCCCAGTGCTCAGCATAATGACTGGCACACACTGGGTGCTTAATAAATGTTTGTCGCCTCACCTGTCATTGTTCATATTCTGTTTACGAGAGAAAATTCAGAAAATCCTCTTCCTTGGGACAAAAAGCACTATCTTCTTAGCAGGTTCTTCTCACTCAAACTCTTATTGATACTCAGCTCCTCCAAGAAGCCTACCCTTTCTGATTAAAATCACTCAGTTGCTCACTCTTTCCTCAGGCCTTCCCTTCAGTTCTTAGGAAGTAAAATTTTTTAAACTTTTCATCTGCACTTGATCCTAAAGGCCAAAGTAAAGTGATGTAACACCTAACATTGAGTGAATTTATACAACTGCTCCTTCCTCTGCCTTGTCTTGCCACTATCCGGATTCACCAAATTAAAGAAGTATTTATTAAGTACCAGGACATGTCAGGTCCTGGCTTTCTGTTTGATACTTTGTTCATTTGTTCTTATTCACATATTGCTTTATGATTATTCTCATGTCTTTTCCATGTGTTTGCATTTTGAATTGTAAGTTCTATAAAGCTAGAAATTGTGTTAAATTTCTTTTGGATCTCCGCAGTCAGGTAGAGGGCTGCACACATAATGGACCTGTAGTAATGTTGACTAATTAACTGACTGACTCACTGATAAAGGGCTGCCAGGACAGCAAAAAAGATAATTGCATTTAAAGAATTTAAAACCTTGGCCTATAATAAATAAAAGATAACGAGATTACTTGGTATACCTTGTACATTCCCGAATTATTATATATTCCCCTTTCTTTTAATTCAAGTTGGAGAGGAGACTTATGTATGCAAGGCAACAAGCATTTATTATTAGTAGTAGTAATAATAGTAATTATAGCTAACATTTACATGACACTTATGTTCCCAACTCTGCTCTACACACTTTACAATTGTTATCTCATTTAATCCTCACAACAACCCTAGAGGGTAGGTGATATTGATATCCCCATCTTACAGATGAAAAACAGGCAGAGGGTAAGTGATTTGCCCAGGATCACACAGTTTGTGTCTGAGGCTGGATTTGAACTCAGATTATCCTAACCCCAGGCCTAGTGCTCTATTCACTATGCCATCTAACTGCCTACCTGCCACCTAGCTGCCTGTGTTTTTTATCAAACACTATGTGCCAGGCACTGTGCTAAGCACTTGTGACAAAAATACAAGCAAAAGCCTGTACAAGCCTGCCCTCAAGGAGCTTACATTCTAATGGAGGAAATCAGCACAAAAAAAGAGTAGAAAAGAAGACAGAAGGGACAAGAAGAAGGAACCTTGTAGGGGAACATGATGATAAAGTTTAGAAAGTCTGGGAGGGGGCTGATTGAATGTTCCAGGGAGAGGAAGCATTGGGAAGGTCCAGAGTGATACTGCCACTGAGGCATGAGCATTTCAGTAAAATCAATCATGGTATTGGGGATTTAAATCCTAAAGTGAGAAGGCTGAGCTCTCCTGGACACTCAATAAGGAGTTTTTGCTGGTTACATGCAGTCATGATTTAAATTTTTCATCTTTGGCAGGGAATTATCCCAAAATCCATGATAAGGAAAATGGATCTTATCCATGAATAATAAGCGTCCCTGAATTCCCCCAGATTGTTTTGGACATCACCACTTCCTATGCTGAATCAATAGAGAGAACTTGAAAGATATTTTGACCCTTCTCATTGTGATGTTTTCCTCTTTTTCAGGACTGACCAGCACTTTCAGATCGTTGGAGAAAGACAGCGTCCTTCCCAACTGGAATCTGTCACAGCTGCTCCCAGAAACAAGGAAGCAGCTGTATATGTGAACAACCCTTGAGATTACTAGAATGACACTTTCTTTGACCGTTAGTCAGAGAAGGGAAATCTTTTGTTTCTGCCTGAACCTCCTATCCTCTGTCTGCCTCTTATGCACTCCAGCACCCCTATCAGCTCTCTATTCTCCTTCACTAGCCCAGCAGTAAAAAGACTGCTTGGCTGGAAACAGGGAGATGAAGAGGAAAAGTGGGCGGAGAAGGCCGTTGACTCTCTGGTGAAGAAACTGAAGAAGAAGAAAGGAGCGATGGAAGAGCTGGAGAGGGCTTTGAGCTGCCCAGGCCAGCCCAGTAAATGTGTCACCATACCCCGATCCCTGGACGGAAGGCTACAAGTATCACACCGCAAGGGTCTGCCTCATGTGATTTACTGCAGGGTGTGGCGCTGGCCAGATCTACAGTCTCACCATGAATTAAAACCACTCGAGTGTTGTGAATTCCCATTTGGCTCAAAGCAGAAAGAAGTGTGCATTAACCCATATCACTACCGCCGAGTGGAAACCCCAGGTAATAAATCCCTACATAATTAGAAGAGTTAGGCATAGGCCAAATGCATATTGGGTGAGTGAATATGTCATTAAGTACCAGAGCCTGCAGGTGAGCTAAGAAGATCCAGGCTGCCCTCTGATTGAAAGAGAGTGTAAGGGAAAAGCTCTCCCCTATCTGGGTCAGTATATAGGTTTTCACTAAAAGAGTTACCAAGAAGTAGCCTAAAATCTACTAGGGTTAGGTAGGGTGGCTCAGTGGATAGAATGCTGGACTTCAGTCAGGAGGACCTGAGTTCACATCCAGCCTCAAACACTTGCTAGCTGTGTGACCTTGGGCAATTCACTTAACCTCTATTTACCTCAGTTTTCTCATCTGTAAAATGGAGATAATGGTACCTACCTCTCAGAGTTGTGAGGATCAAATGAAATAATAATTATAAAGTGCTTAGCATAGTACCTGGCACATAGCAAGCGCTATATAAATGTTAGTTATTATTATCCTGCCTTAGACACTTACTAGTTGTGTGATCCTGGGCAAGTTACTTAACTGCCATCTGCTTCAATTTCCTCATCTGCAAAATAAGTTGGAGAAGGAAATGGCAAACCACTCTAGTGTCTTTGCCAAGAAACCCCTAAAGGGGGTCATGAAGAGTTGGACACAACTGCACAACAATTTGTAATATGGTAAAAAAAAAAAACACCACAACAAAAAAACCCTACTCTGTTAGAAAACTCCTCACTTTTAAATAACCTCTCATATTAAAAGTCAAAATATGTCTTCCACTTGTAAAATGGTTGGATAGTACTTCTCTTTTACCATTTATCCATTCAACAAGTTTATTTAGAAGGTACATATTTTGTACAAGGCATTGTTCTAGGTGTTAAAGATACGAAAATTTTAAAATGTCATAGCCATTGGTTTTGAGGAGCTTACATTGTGTGTGTGTGTGTGTGTGTGTGTGTGTTCGTTCTGCCTGAGAACTCATGGAAGGCTAGTGGACATACTGACACGTGAGCTGAGTTTTGAAGGGAGACCAGGATTCTGAAAGGGACTAGATGAGTAGTATATGCATTCCAGGCATGGGAAATGGCCTGCATAGATGCATGAGGCCAGGAAATGACATGTCAACTTAAGGGAATTTCTTTCAGGAGTTCAGTTTGGCTGGAATGTGGAGCATTTAAAAAGAAATAATGTAAACTCTGGCTGGAGAGGTAGGTTGAAGTCTGAATATGGAAGGCCTTAAATTCTAGGTTAAGGAACATTGTATTTTATCCTCTGTGCAATAGATCCTGAATTTTTTGGGCAAAAGAGTGACATTGTCTGGGAAGATTATTTTGGTCGTTGTGAGGGGAGAGATTGGAATCAGAGACCAGTGAAGAGGTTATTCTTACAGTCCAGGCCAAAGTGATGAAGGCCTGAACAAGGATGGATGAGAGATGTGGAGGTAGAATCAATGGGATTTGTTACTGATTGTATATGATAGGTGAAGGAGAGGGAAGAGTGAAAAATGGCTCTCAGGTTCTGAATCTGGATGACTAGGAAGGTTTCCCTCTGTATTCATCCTTATACCTTGATGTCAGCACTGTCTGGGTCCATCCTAATCTTTTATTTTTGTTAGTGTGTATGCAGTGCAATTAGGAGAGGCAATTTAATGCCAGTTCTCCCTCCCTTTTTACCTATCTGCTTTATTCTGGGAAATCAAAGCCCTCCTACACTACTACACAGAAATAGCCAGCTTCAGAGAGAAAGTTTAGGTAGGTTCTTTAAAAAACCCAGCAGATTTCATCATTCAGGATTTCTCTTAAACCTTAAACCAAAATTGAAGAAGCAGTTAGTACCTTTTATCTAATGGTATTAGATAGGTGACCTTTTAGCTTTCCTAAGATGTGTTTTTTTCCCAACAAATACATGTTGTTGTCCATTGTTAAAAAGGGATGATCTTACTCCACTCACAGTAAATTTATTTTATTGCTGGTAGTATCAAGGACCTGTATGAAAATGAAAGCCGATGATCTTCTATTCTTTTTATTCCTAATGGTTTCACTACATCTCATGGGCCCAAATTCACCTTCCTTTCTTGTGCTTTAATTTCTTTGGGAGCTCCAAGCAGGAAAAAAAATGTATGCCCTCCCGCCCCAATTGGCTGGTTTTACTTCTTGAACAAAGTAATAATTCTACACTTTTTAGGTAAATTAAACAGCTAAATATTCATTGGCACTTTTTTCTCCTCTCCCTCATCTCTTCTTAAAAGAGAAGCTGAGATTTAATTGAAGACACTAACAAACCCACTGGAGCCTTGTTCTAAGACTAATCTATACAAGGCAGGTCCACCTTGCATCCCATCCAGAAGGGTTTAGTACCTAAACAATCAATTATGTACATTTCTCTTTAAGGTAGCCAAATGACTTGGACCCCAAACACTTTGCCATTGTCAGTATCCAGGGTAGTTGTAAAATTTAGGTTTTAGATTTAGAGCTAGAAGAGCCATTAGAGGTTATTTTATTTGACTCCCTCATTTTACAGGAAATTGAGGCCTATGGAGGTTAGCAACTTGTCCAAGGAACATAGTTAATGTGAGATGGAGGTAGGATTTGAACTCAGGTCCTCTGACCCCAGATCCCATGGTCTTTCCATCCATCTGGTTCTACAGATAAATTCTCATTTTAAAGGAGAAACCTAAATAGTAGAGCAAAACCTGTTAGTAGAGAAATATTTGTAATCCAGTCTTTCCTAAAGACTTGGCCTAATGTAACTTTCTGCATGGGGAGGGAACCTAGTGTTTTAACACAAATATTCATGGAGCAAGATAGCGTTCACACCATCATATTAGAAGAAGCCGTTTTAGAATCAAAGTTATATAAGAAAGACCTTTAAAAACCTCCATTTTATTTGCATATTCTGTCCTTTCATCCTTTGATTTTCTTCTTCAGAAAAAGCAGTTTTTCTCTCTATTTTAGAGTATGTATCCTCTGCATGTAAGCAGTTCAAAAACAAGGAAAATCAAGATTCTTTGGAAGATTTCTAGGTTTTGTGAAGTTTGTTATCCCACATGAAGACAAAGTTCAAATTTTCCACTTTGAGAAAAGCCATGTTCATTCCCTAATTCCCTCCCAAAGCAGGGATGCTGCAGGCAACATACTAATTGTCCTTGGCATTTTTTTTTGTTTTGATGGGGCAATGGGGGTTAAGTGACTTGCCCAGGGTCACACAGCTAGTAAGTGTCAAGTGTCTGAGGCTGGATTTGAACTCAGGTCTTTCTGACTCCAAGGCCAGAGCTTTATCCACTACACCACCTAGCGGCCCCCATATCCTTGGGATTTTCAAACCTTCACTTTGTACCTCAAGGCAACTAGTGGTGTGGTGGGTAGAATGCTGTGCTTGTAGTCAGGAATGCCCAAGTTTAAATTTGGCCTCAGACACTTAACTCACAGCTTCACTTCTAGCTGCCTCACTTTCCATTGCAACTGCAAAATGGAGATAATAACAACATCCACCTACCTATCTCTGAGTTGTTGTGTGGATAAAATGAAATAATACTTGTAAAATGCTTTGCAAACCTTAAAGCTCTTTCTCTCTATATAAATGCTAGCTGTTGTTATTATCATAGAGCTGCTTTGATAAGTCACTGGAAGATCATCTATACTGAAGTATAGCATAGTATAGCAGGATTCTGCCTCAAGGGACTAGAAAGATGACCATCTTTTCTCTTTTTCATAGATATTCCCCTTTCCCCCCCATGTAAAATGCCTCCTTGAAAAAGATGTGATGGTTCTAATATAATCTTAGGCTACATTGAATTGAGATGTACAATTCAGAATCAGATGACTGGATGCCTTGTTCAGACCATATCTGTGTCCATTTCTGGGGACCAGAGTTTGGGAAGGACATTGACAAACTGGGGAGTAGCCAAAGAAGTGTGGCCAAGATTATAGGGAGGCTCATAACCACGCCGTATGGTGATCTTCTGAAAGAAATGGGGATATTTAGTTTGTAGAAAACAAGAGGAGATGAGGGACATAGTTGCTTGTTGAAGTACTTGGAGGATTGTTATGGGAATGAGAGATTCGATTTTGTTCTTCTTGGCGTCCTGGGGCAGAAATTGGAGCAATGAATAAAAGTTGCAGAAAGGCACATTTTAGATCTACATAGGGACCAGTCTTATAACAATTAGAGCTGCCCAAAAATACAGTGGTGTTTTTAGGGAAGTAATAATAGCTGATGTTTTTATAGAACTTTAAAGTTTCTAATACATAATTCTACATATATCCAGTTTTATCTTTAAATGATGTATCTCACTTGGGCCTCATAGCAACCCTGTGAGGTAGGTACTACAAGTATTGTTATCTTCTCTTATATATGAGGAAACTGAGGCCCAGAAAGATTAATTTTTCACTCTGCATCTAGCACTGTATGATGTCTCCATCATTGGAAGTATTCTAATTGAAGATAAATGATCACTTATCAGGGATATTGTAGATAGACTATTATTTGGGTTGGGATTAAACCAGTTAATCATTGAAGTCCCTTCCATCTAGATTATTCAGTCAGTCATTCGGTCAATAAATATTTGTTAAGCACCTACTAGGCGCTATGCATACACTGTGCTAAATGCTGAGAATACAAAGAAAGGCAAATGACATGCCCTATTCTCTCATGAAGCTCACAGTCTAGTCAGAGACAACATGCAAGTAACTATGTACAAAAATGCTGTATGCAGGATAAATTGGAAATAATCAGCAGAAGGAAGGCTAAAATTAAGGGGGATTGGGAACGTCTTCCTATAGAGGGGTTTTTAGCTGGTCCTTGAGGGAAGCTGGGGAAGCCATGAGGCAAAGATGAGGAGGAAAAGTCTTTAATCGTGGAGGAATAGCCAGGAAATGTACCCAGAATTGGGAGATGGAGTTCCTTATTCAAGGGAAAGGGATGAGGTCAGTGTCATTGGATTGCAGAGTATATTGACAGGGGTGGTGGTGGGAGGGGGAGAATTGTAAGGTATAAGAAGACTAGAAAGGTGGGGAGAGTCAGGTTATAAAGGCAGGCCAAACAGGGGATTTTATAGTTGATCCTGGAGGTGATAGGGAGCCCCTGTAGTTCACTGAATAGAGGGGTGACGTGGTCAGAGATGGGCTTTAGGAAGGTCAGTTTGATAGCTCAGAGGAAGATGGACTGGAGTCGGGGGAGAACTCGTGATAAAGAGAGCAACCTACAGGCTATTGCATATTTTCATTTAGAAGTACACATCACTTTATCATTGAAAGCATTTCATAATATCATTTTAAAGTTGCTTTGGTATTTACTACCTAATCAACACTCCAGATGGGCAAAATGAAGTTGAATTAAGAATAGGAAGCATATAGAATTTAAAGATTGGGGAATTTGTTTTCTTGGTGACAGTATTTAAAACACGCTCAGTCATACATAGAATAAGTGAACCAGTCAGATTAAAGAATAATGATAATAAATAAGGATTCTCACATTAAGGTTTGCCAAGTGCTTTTTATTACAAAAATCTTGTTAGGTAGGTGGCCCAAACATTATTCTCCTTTTACAGATAAAGAAACTGAAATTCCGAGAGGTCCAAATGAAAGCAAGCATTGGAGCTGGGCTTTACCAGCTTTCCTGGATCAAGGTCCAGGCTCATTCTCCTGAATCACCCTGCTGGGTGATTCTGCTTTAAGCAGAAGCAGGCTGAGTAAGTGAGCTCTTGGTTGCTGTTAGCGTTTATTGTTGAGAGAGGAAATAAAGGAACAAAGACCAGGCAACTTCTGATGCTGTGAGCTGAGCTATTTACATTTAGTCTGTACTCCTCACATTGAGTGATGAGGGCAAAGAAAAAGTAGCGGCAGCCCATGATGATAATTACACTAGTAAGATATACATTATGCTAGAGAAGAAATAGGTCCTTTTCTTCTCCATGGTAGCTTAGAGGGTTGCAAATCTGCACTTCCACACAGAAATATAACACTTTGCTCAGAGAAGTATGTGAAGAAGGATGTTTATTAATGTCAAGCAACTTTGGCTATGCCACATGTAAACTCAGGTCACAGAAGCTTCATTACCTCCTCTCAGTGAAGAAAGTGAATAGGTTGCACATTAAGAATCGTCCTTAGAAAGGAACTCGTATCCTGCTGAATGTGTAGGAAGGTCTCTCCCAGACAGATTTTATATGAAAAAAATGATCTTCTCAATTGATCCTTGTCTCTATAGATAGATGGAATAAATAAAAAAGATGTATCTCGTGCCTGTCATTTCTGTAAGGGAGGAGTGAGTTTTTGCTTCTTTAATATAGTGAGAAGTTTTGTAAATAACTGATGTGTACTGGATGGAGTTTGGGGCCTGGAGGCAGGAAGACTTGTCCTCCTGAATCCAAATCTTAGATTCTTACTAGCTGGGTGACCCTGGGCAAGCCACTTAACCCTGTTTGCCTCAACTTCCTTATCTGCAAAATGAGCTGGATAAGGAAATGGCAAACCACTCCAGTATCTTTGTCAAGAAAACTCGAAATGGAGTCATAGAGAGTTGGACAAGACTGATACAACTCAACAATAACAAGAGAAGAGCCCACTTTCTTCTTTACTCTGTGTTGGGATTTCTTTTTAAAAGCTATCATTTGCCTATTTAATTCTATTTTTCCCCCAGTCAGATAAAGAAATATAAAATAACATGGTAAAGGACAAATAGTAGACTGTACATCATTATTTCTAATTGGTCATTCTGTGTAGAAAATCCTCGTGGCTGGTGTGAACACTGAGTATCAGGAGAACATTTGGCTTTGGGATTTGAATCTCCACAATTTAACTTCCTGAAGGAAGAGTCATAGCTAAGTCATATTCTTTTTTTAAGCATGATACCCTACAGGAAATCAAGGCCAATAGGCAACTTAACTACATTTAAGAGTAATTCTTTATTTAAAAAAAATTATTTGCCTATACATCTTTACACCCAGGGCTGAAGGAATAGTCTCATTTTAGCATCAATGATAAATCTGAAGTTTAGAAAGCTAGTAGTGGTCCATAAGATTCTTTTGGTCTCTGAAGGGAAAAAAAAGGAAAGGACAAAATATCGTTCTTTAATGTTCAACTCTAACTATGATGTGTCTCTCGTGTTGCAGTGCTTCCTCCTGTGCTCGTACCAAGACACAGCGAATTTAACCCCCAGCTCAGCCTTCTGGCCAAGTTTCGGAATGCTTCCCTCCACAGTGAGCCCCTGATGCCTCACAACGCTACCTATCCTGAGTCTTTTCAGCAGCCCACAGGCTCTACCTATTCATCGTCACCCAGCCACATGTTCTTGCCTTCTCCCAGCACTGTAAGCTACCCTCATTCCCCAGGAAGTTCATCGGGGCCAGGGAGTCCATATCAACTCACAGGTGAGAAGTGAAAGCATAGAGGGCATTAAAAGCTGTAGAGAGAGATGAGACCATAAAGATTCTTTTGTCTAACACCCCTGTTTTATATATAAGGAAACTGAGTACCAGAGAGGTCAAGTAATTTACCAAAGGTCACATAGGGAGTTTGTGGTAGAGTCAGAAGTCAAACCCAGTTTGATTCTAATATAGTTAATGAGAATTCTACTAATATATGACAACATTCCTAGGGATTTGGGTATTTCATAGCTGGGGATTTTAGCATATGGCAAGAGGGCAATAATCTTTTCATGAAATCAGGAGCAAAATGGTCAACATGGAATCTACACGATGAACTTAGCATTTTTCCAAGCTTTTGCTGCCTTTTAAACCAATCAAAGGTCTGTTCCTGTCTACATAAGTTACTTGAATTAGTTTGGGACTGTAAGGAGCAGTGATGTAGCTTAGGTTGTCATATACAGCCAAGAGTATAGTTTCTGTTGGTGTAAGACCAGGAAATGAGTTAATGAGACTTGGGAAGATAGAGAATACATCTTTCTTCCATGTGCACCAGTGTGCAAAAAGCAGGAGTGTAGCATAATCAAAGTGGCATTTTAATTATATAAATGGAAGAAAATGAAACATTAATTTATAATTATCCATACTAAAGCAGATGCAAGGCAAGACAAAAAGCATTTATTAAATACTTACTATGTGTCAGACACATAGTAAGCTCTGGGAGTACAAATACAAATAAAAAGATAGTCCCTGCCCTCATGTAACTTACATTTTAATGGGAAGAGACAACACATAAAAGAGAAATGGAAAGCAGAAGCTGGGGTGGAGGCACCTGCCTGGGGCCATGTCGGTGGAGTTGGAAGAGTCAGAAGCACAACCAGGAAGAGAATGAAATTGAGTATTGAAGTATAGTACCCTTGTATTTTGTCTTGGTCAGCACCCATATGGAGCTCAGTTTTAGACACCACATTGACAAGGAAGAATGATGACACATGGAGTAGTCAGGATGCTGAGGAGACTGACAACCATATCATATAAAGATTGTTGAAGCAACTGTGAATATTCAATATAATTAACATTCTTTTCCTCTCCTGTAGGAGATAAGTCTTAGAGGAGGAAACATAGTCATCTTCAGATATGAAGGGCTATTGGGTAGAAAAAAATGACTTTTTTCCCTTACAGTTTAGAGATGCAGCATGAAATAGTCTCATTTGAAAGTCAGATTTTCTGTTCTTTTCATCAGGAATGCTTGTAAGACCTCTATTTCATTGAATATCCATTTTTCTCCCTGAAGGATTATACTCAGTTTTGCTGGGTAGATAATTCTTAGTTGTAATCCTAGCTCCTTTGCCCTTCAGAATATCATATTCCAAGCCCTCCAGTCCTTTAATGTAGAAGCTGCTAAATCTTGTGTTATCTTGACTGTGACTCCATGTTATGTGAATTATCTCTTTCTGGCTGCTTGTAATATTTTCTCCTTGACCTGGGAGCTCTGGCATTTGGTTACAATATTCCTGAAAGTTTTCATTTTGGGATCTTTTTCAGAAGGTGATGAGTGGATTCTTTGAATTTCTATTTTACCCTCTAGTCTAGAATATCAGGGCAGTGTTCCTTGATAATTCCTTGAGAGATAATGTCTAAGCTCTTTCTTTTTATCATGGTTTTCAGGTAGTCCAATAATTCTTAAAGTACCTCTCCTGGATCTGTTTTCCAGGTCTGTTGTTTTACCAGTAAGATATTTCACATTTTCTTCTATTTTTTCATTCTTTTGATTTTGTTTTATTATTTCTTGTTGTCTTATGGAGTCATTAGCTTCCACTTGCCTAATCCTAATTTTTAAGGCATTACTTTTTTCAGTGAGCTTTTGTACCTCCTTTTATATTTGGACAATCTTACTTTTTAAGGAGTTATTTTCTTCAGTGAATTTTTGTGCATTTTTTTTTCCATTTGGTTAGTTCTACTTTTTAAGGAGTTCTGCTCTTCAGTGAATTTTTGTACATTTTTTTTCCCTTTAGTCAATTCTGCTTTTTATGAAGAAGTTCTTTTCAGTGGATTTCTGTGCCTCTTTTACTATTTAGCCTATTGTGTTTTTCAAGGTGTTATTTTCTTCAGTATTTTTGAGCTTCCTTTACCAAGCTTATTGATTCTTTTTTGCTCTCATTTCTTTTCTCCGTTTTTCTTCTACTTCTCTTATTTGATTTTTAAAATCCTTTTTGACCTCTTCCAGGAATTCTTTTTGGGTGTAAGACCAATTCACATTTTTCTTTGAGACTTTGAAGATAGCAATTTTAACTTTGTTGTCTTCTTCTGAGTTTATGTTTTGATCTTCTCTGTCACTATAGTAACTTTCTATGGTCAGGTGTTTTTATTTTTGGTTTGCTCATTTTTTCCAGCCTATTTCTTCACTTTGAATTTTATTTTAAAGTTGGACTCTGCTCTCAGGATGGGAGGGGGCACTGTCCTAAGCTTCAGGTTTTTTGTGCAGCTATTTTCAGAGCTGGTTCAAGGACTCTCTATGTTTTCAGTTCTTCCAATGCGATATGACATAAAGAGAAGTGTGTTTACCAGTCTCCTGGACTGTTCTCTAGTCTGTGAGAGACCATGGGCACTCTTTTCCTCCCTTGAACTATGACCATGTTCCCCTTGTAGCTGCAAGCACTGGCATTCTAGTGCTCCTCCTCACCCAGGACTGTGACCTGGATCTGAGTATGGGCAGTGCACACAGTGCAAGCAAAGGAACTCCTGTAATCTCCTTCTGACCAATAATCTGACTCTCTTACTATTTGTGGGTTGAGAGCTCTGGAAGCCACTGCTGCAACCACTGATTCAGTTGCCCACCAAGCCTGCTACTGCTTTGCTAAGGAGCAGCCTGCACCGGGGCTACACTAGACTCTGCTCTAATCTCACCCTAGTGTGACAGACCTATTCTGCCAACTTTGGTTGGAAAATTGTTTTACCTTATTCTTTTGTAGGCTCTGCCACTCCAGAATTCATTTTGAGGCATTATTTAAAGTTGTTTGGGGGAGGAATTTGGGAGAGCTCAGGTGAGTCCCTGCCTTTTCTCCTCTATCTTGGCTTTCTGTGCCTCCCCTTCCCCCCCCAAGTTCTTTTATAATGTATGCTATTTCTATTTGGCAGTTCTAGAGAGTAGAGTTATAGGGGAGAGATTTTCTCCTTATGGAAGGAAGAATTTTCAAACAATTAGGGTTATTAAAAATGTTATGGACTGTTTTGTTAGGTAGTAAGTTCCTCATCAGTAGAAGCTGAATGACCAAGGCTGTTAGGGATTTTGTAAAGGAGATTCCTGCATAGGACAAGAAGTTGAACCAGCTGCATTTGAAATGATCTCTGTGGTTACTTACAACTTTAAATCCTATAGTCCTATGATTCCTTTCAACTCCTATGTTCTGGAAGTGATTTTATAATCAGGTAGCACCGCAGTGCTCCAAGTGGTAGGCCTGGAATCAAGAAGACCTGAGTTCAACCCAAGCCTCTGACATTTAATAGCTATGTGACCCTAGGCAAATCATTTAACCTCTGCCTGCCTTTTCCTCATCTGTAAAATGGGAATAATAATAGCACTTACCTCCCACAAAGGGAGATATTTGTAAAGCTCTCTATATACATGCTAACTATTATTATTTATATTGGATTACTCATGTAAAAACTACTTAAAGCAGTTTATATATTGACTTTGGCTTTGGTTAAATTAATGGACTTGACTTCTTTCTTTTTCTTTCCAGTGGTAAATCATGTTATAACTACCTTCTTTTAAGCTTATTGGGAGATCATCCCTCTGTAGTTTCTTGAAAAAGTAAATAACTATTGTTTTCTCACCTCAAAACAAACTCTTTTTATTTGGTTGATATGGAACCAAATAGATTTAGAATCATATAATTTTTAAAGCCAGGAGGGAGCTTAGAGATCATCTAGTCTATAACCCCCTTATTTTACAGATGGGGAAACTGAGACCAGAAAGAGTAAGTGACTTGGCCAGAGTCATAGAGCTGCAAGTCTAGAATACATGTTTCCTAACCTCATGGCTAGTGCTTTCATCCCTGTCTCACATTAGAATCAATAGTCAGTCAGTCAGTCAGCAAGCATGGTAGCCCATGTCTGTAATCCTTGTTGTTGGGGTGGATGAGGTTGGACAGCAGTACTCTGGTAAATGTTTACTATCTCACTGCAAAAAACATGCGTATGACATTTTCATTATCACTTTCCTCAACCTAAATAATCAACAAAACAATAAATCAAATCCAGATTTGCAGCTTTTGCCAATTTCTGCGGTGTAAATGCTCACACTGAAAACTTAACAATTGGCTGTTCTGAGGCAGGTCAAGCCGTCTCCAGCAGACCCCTGCTGGTGGATCGCTTGGGAGTGCTGAGCTTTAGGACAACTAAAGCCAGTCAGGTTTCTGTACTAAATCTGGTACCAGTATGATGAGCAGCAGGCTAAACAAGATAGGACAAACTGGTCCAGATCAGAAAAACAGAGCAAGTCAGAGCTTCTATGCCAACTTATATTGGCATTAGACCTGTGGGTAGTCACTGAACTTCTAGCCTGAGTGGTTTTAAAAAAAAAGTATTTTTGAAGTACTAATTATATCCCATTCTCCCATTGGTGAATTCCTTCTGGAACCTCCATTTTGAGGAAGGGCCCAGACCATCCACGCTTCTTACTTTCCTGTTATGTATTGTCTTCCCCTATCAGAGTGTAATTGAGCAGCTAGGTGGTGCGGTGGATACAGCACTGGGCCTGGAGAAAGGGCCTGAGTTCAAATGTGACCTCAGATACTCACTAGCTGTGTGACCTGGGCAAGTCACTTAACCCTGTTTGCTTCAATTTCTTCATCTATAAAATGAGCTGGAGAAGGAAATGGCAAACCAGTCAACAGTACCTCTGCCAAGAAAACCCTCAAAATTGTCTTTACATGTAATTGGAAAAAAATAAAATAATATTTTTTTTAAAAAGAGAGAAAACCCCAAAAATGGGTTACAAAGAGTGACCAATAACATTAGAATGTAAACTTTCCCTCGAGGGCTGGGACTGGCTTTCTTTTTGCTTGTATCTATAAGCTCAGCACTTAGCACAGTATGTGCCACAAAATGCCTAACAAATGCTTGTTAACTGAGCACTGGGGCTGCAGTGAATGACAACCAACAAGCTCTTTCCTTGCTCCTTTCTTGTTCTACCTTTGGCTTGGGCACTTTTCCACTAACCCAAGGAATGCTTCAGTTCAGCTTGATTCAGCAGGTTTTGACAACTAGCCTGCTATGTACCTAATGCCACGAGGTGCATTCTCAAAGGACTTTTATCTATGTGCCAAATATGAAGAGGTTAGGAGGGATTTCTCTTCTCTCATTCCGTATGTATCTTTATGTCACTCCCTACAGAATCTTTGGGGATAGTAGCCTTTACATGTATTTGTGTAAAGAGAATTCACCCTTCCTTCTTACTCATGGCTCTTCTACCCACAAGACACAATTTGATTTCGGGGAGAGAGGAAAAGTAGTGTAAAGGAACAGTCAAAAGATCTGGCTTCAAGACCACATCTGATTCAACCATAAATATGACCCTAGACAGATCATTAACTATTATTCTGTTTTTTCCCATTAATTTTTTTTACTTATTTAATATTTTTTTCCTCAGTGACATGTAAAAATAATTTTTAACATTCATTTTTAAAACTGAGTTCCAAATTCTCTCCCTTCCTCCCTCCCCAAACAATTTTATATAGGTTATACAACATGTAGTCATGTTAAACATATCCATAAGAATCATGTTGTGAAAGAAAACATAGACAAAAAAAACCTCAAGAAAAATAAAGAGTAACAAAAGTATCCTTTAATCTGTATTCAGACACCATTAGTTCTTTCTCTGGGGAAGGATAAATAGCATTTTTGTTGTAAGTCCTTCAGTTTTCTTGCTTTGTTGTATTGCTGAGAACAATTAGCCATTCACAGCTGATCATCTTACAATATTGCTGTTACTTTGTACACAGTACATTTCACTTTGTATCAGCCCATGCAAGTCTTTCCAGGTTTTTCTGAGAGCATCCTGCACATCATTTCTTATAGTACAATGGTATTCCATCATAATCACATACCACAGCTTATTCAGCCATTCCCCAATTGATGGGTGTCCCCTCAATTTCTAATTCTTTACTCCCAGAAAAGAGCCGCTATAAATATTTTTGTACATATAGGTACTTTTCCTGTTTGTTTTTTAGCTCTTTTGGAATACAGACCTAGTAGTGGTATTGTGAAGTCAAAAGGTATGTCCGGTTTTATAGCCCTTTGGGCATAGTTCAAATTGCTATACAGAATGGTTGAATCAGTCCACAACTCCACCAACAGCACATCAGTGTCTCCTTTCCCCCACATCCACTCCAACATTTGTCATTTACCTTTTCTGTCTTGTTAGACAATCTAATAGATATGAGATAATACCTTAGAATTGTTTTAATTTGCATTTCTCCAATCAATAGTGAGTTAGAATATTTTTTCACATGGCTATAGATAGCTTTTATTACTTCATCTGAAAACTGATTGTATCTTTTGATCATTTATCAATTGGGGAATGGCTTTTTTTTTTTAATAAATTTGACTCATTTCTCTATATGTTTGAGAAATGACTTGCTGCAAATTTTTTTCACAGTTAGGATTGCCAGCTGTATTTCCCTCCCTCCTATTCCTCCCACCCCTCTTTATTCTATTCTCTCTCTTTTTACCCGGTCCCTCCTCAAAAGTGTTTTGCATCTGACTACCCCTTCCCCCCAATCTGCCCTCCCTTCTATCACTCCCCCCCCCCTTTTCTTATCCCCCTTCCCCTCCTACTGTTATTCTAGCTGAACTTCTGTTTCCAAGCATATACCCTGGGGCATGTGAGCAGCAGAACAGCCTAGTAGACATTCTGCTACTGACAGCTGGCTGTCCCAAAAATGCAAAAGAGAAGTTTATCCAAAAGTGTAGCTTTCTTCCTACACAGTCAATTAGGCAGATTTTTCCCTGTTTTGTCATTGAGGAAAACTACATCTTCCTGCTATCAAACTTAGATTTGAAAAACAGTCATGAAGTAGTTATCATCCTTTGACCATTCCTGAAGCCAAGGGAAAGCTAACCAATCCTTTACCAGGAATCTAAGAGTAGCAAGTCTTTTTTCCCTTCCATGTTGGCAATGCTGAGCACCATCTTCAGTATCAGTTCTTTTCCCTCCTGCAGTGATACTGCCTATGGGGGTTACAGGGTTTAGCTGCAAAGGAGGGGGGAATCAGTCTGTCCTTAAGGAATTGGTTGATTTGATGATTTTCTTTTTTTATTGCTTTTTTTCTTTAGTTGATACACCACCCCCACCTTATCATGCCACAGAAACACCAGGGAGCCACAATGGACGACCTCTAGATGCCACAGCTGACAGCCATTTAGTGCTATCATTGCCTAATGGAGGTAAATTTGTGGATGAAGCACTAAACACTGATACTTTTGGGTAGTAATTCTTACCATCCTCTCCCTTGTTTCCCTCTAAAAGTGAAGAATTGTTATTTAACTTGTGATTTCCTTTGTGGTCTTCTGTGACGTCTTAACTTCTATTTGATAGCCTCCCCAGACCAGAGCAAGGACTGGTTTTCTTGTCACCTTGACTCTTGGAATAAGTTAATTATTCATTTTAACTTTTGTGCTTATAAATCTGTCATCTTTAATATTTACACAGTGTGCTACTATAAGTGAGGAGAATCTATTCTAATTTTTACTAATAATTATTCAGGTTAGAAAATGTATCCTTTAAAAACCTCCACAGATTTATTTATTTATTCAAGCGTCACTTCTCTTTAGGTAGCAAATGTATTCCTGGAAAATTTCATGAAAATCTTTTTTTCCCCTATACTTCTGAAGTTCCTTTGAGCTCTTAAATTGTAGGATTCCCATGAAACTTAATGATTTTAAACATTCTCATGGGTTGAAAGCTCAGTGAGATAGTGAAAAGAGCATTTTTAGGCTTGGAGTTGGAAGACTTGGTTTTTCCCCTTGGCATTGCCATTTGTTAGTAATGTGATCCAGTGCAAGTGACTTTCCCTTTTGCTAGCTCTCAGTTTCCACATCTGCAAAATAAGGCCCTTGGACTAGATGATTGCTAAGATTCCTTCCAGCATTTTGCAATTCTGTGATTTTCTGATAACTCATGGACTCAGCATTAGAAGGCACTACAGATGTCTTTTACTCTGAAATGTGAATTCTCTTCACAAGTGGTCATCTAGCCACTGTTTGAAAACCTCAAGTAATGGTGGGCTTCTGGGGCAGTGGGTTCCACTTTGGAGCAGTTCTGATTGTTAGGAAGTTTTCCTCAAATTAAATAAAAAAATTATTCTCCATGTAGTTTCCAACCATTGGTCTAGATCCTGCCTTGTAAGAATAACTTAGTGGCTAAAATTTAGCAAGAGTTCTTAACCTTGGGTTCACAGCCCTCTGAGGAGTCCATGGATAGATTTCATGGAGTCTGTGAATGGGAATGGAAAAAAAAATTTACATATATATTTTTATTAACCTTTGGTTTCCTTTGTAAGCCTTAGGCTAGTTGACCTTGAAGGTCAGCCTAAATTCTATGATTCTCAAAGAAATCACTTTCCTTTGAAGTCACTAATGGCTTTAGATGATTAAATACTGTACATGAGGCAGAAAGGAGAATGAAAACCTATGCTAGTGAGGACAGTTTTTCTTGTACATTCATTCATTCCTGGATAGATTTTCAGATTGGTTTTTACTTTAACAAAATTCATTCATTTGTTCTAGGCTCTTGTTTGGGAAGTGGTGTGCTGCCTATCATTGCTTCTTGTTGAGCATTCATTCATTGCCCTTCATAGACAAAAATAACACTATGAATCTATAGCAGGGCAATTGTTTTAAGTAATATATCTTCTACAGAGGGGAGTGACTTGCCCTGGTAACCTAACATACTGTTTGGTCTGGTCTTCCCCTCCCTTTATAACTACTCCGTGCATGTTTGTAAGACTCTTAGCCCAGAGCTGGGAGTGCTGTCTGTGGGACAGAACAAAACTCTTTGGCTCATAGAGGCGATTAAAACATGGGCTTTTTAGAAGAGCACTACTCAACTGAGCTAACTAGCTGCAAATCATCATTTACCACTGAAACCTCCAGAAAAATGATGGGTTTGAGAGAAAAATTAAACAGCAGCAGCCTACTTGCTCCCGAAAGGGTTGACTCACTGGATCCTGGAATATGAAGCCCAAGTAAAGACTTATTATGACAACGATCCATAACCTGATTTCTTTTCCTTTAGACTTTCGACCTGTTTGTTATGAAGAGCCTCAGCACTGGTGTTCTGTTGCCTACTATGAACTCAACAACCGAGTCGGGGAGACTTTTCAGGCTTCTTCTAGAAGTGTACTCATAGATGGATTTACAGATCCTTCAAATAACAGGAACAGGTTCTGCCTTGGACTTCTTTCTAATGTAAACAGAAACTCAACAATAGAAAATACTCGGAGACATATAGGAAAGGGTAAGAACAAGTGTTTATATTCTTTGTAAGTGTGAACTTGGGAATAGATAGAGATACCACCCATATATCATCAGAATAACATAATGGAGAGCTCATGGGGCTTATAAGCCAAGTGAATGACGTTCTGGGCTTGGCTCCACAATATATGAACTGTTTGACCTTGGACAAGTCACAATTTCTGTCACTGGGTTCTGTCTATGAAATAGGCAAAATAATACTTTCCCTGAATTTATCTTATTGAGATGTGGTGACAAATGAGATGTTAGCTGTGAGAGCATGCTGAGTCATTGTGATAAATGTTTTATATAAGTACTAGGTCGTTATTCAAACGTATCAAAAGTGATTTCTGAGATGACTTGTGAAGAAAAGTCTTCTCAGGATTATGGCCACTTAAGAGCAGCTTTTTTTTCCAGTTACTAACTTAAAAAACATTGCATATAAACTAGATATTAACCAAATACTTTATTTATGTTTTCTTTAGTAGGGTAAAGGCATCATAACTGGGCTGGGGACTTTTAATGTGATATGGTACTTCTTTGAGTCTCACAGTGAATAGGCTGATTGGCCGTCAGGACTAAGCTAGGACATTCTCTAGCCAGGAGAGTATTTTTTCTTTGTAAAAGTTTAGGGGTGAGGTGGTAAAACTCTGCATACCCTTCTCTGTGAAAGGGCAGATTTAGGCCTCTGCTAAGGCTACAAAGAGAAAACAAAGCAAAACTTATGTTTATAAATTTGTCTTCAGCTGTTACTTCTATGCAACAGAAACTAGCTAGGGCAAACTAGTGAGGGTGATCCACATCCTCCATAGGATTCAAGATCTCAAACAAGTTAGAAAACTAGTAGTCTAGAAGTCAGTCAGTCAGCAGCATGTATTAAGCACCTACTCTGTGCCAGGCGCTCCGCACTGGAGACACAGAGGAAGACAAAAAACCCCAAAACTCCAGTGCTTGCTTTCAAGTTGCTCACAGTCGAAGGTGGGGGTGTGGGGGAGGGAGACAACATGCAAATCAGTACAAGGGAGAAGCTCACACTTTGTGGATAGAGAACAGCTGGCCTTGGAGTCAGGAAGCCCCTCCCTCTGACTGGTACTGGTCTAGGGCTACAGACTAATTTCTCAGGGCCTCAGGCAATGCTCTAAGACTCTGAGTTGCACAATGGCTGGATTTGCACTGGAAAGGCAAGTACCTCATGAAATTACAGGTTCATACCAAATTTCTGCATTCATTATTTTTTTGGAGGAGGCAGTTGGGGTTAAATGACTTGTCCAAGGTCACACAGCTAGTAAGTGTTAAGTGTCAAGTGTCATGCCAGATTTGAACTCAGGTCCTCCTGACTCCAAGGCTGGAGCTTTATCCACTGAGCCACCTACCTGCCCCTAAACTTAGACTGTATTAACTTCACAAGGCAAATGGACATTTTTTGGTTTCTTGGGATTTTTTGGTGAGACAATTGGGGTTAAGTGACTTGCCCAGGGTCACACAGCTAGTGAGTGTTATGGGTCTGATGCCAGATTTGAACTCAGGTCCTCCTGACTCCAGGGCTAGTGCTCTATCCACTGCGCCACCTAGCTGCCCCAAATTTCTGCATTCAAACCAACCTAACAACAGAGTTTTCTGATCTCCCTTTAAAAATCTCTTGAAGATCCCTGTCCTTCCCCTCCCACTCTCAGTTGGTAATGTAATCAGTGTTCTTCCTGATCTACTATTTAAATTCCTTTTTTTTCTAGGTACTGTATATAAACCATTGGTTAGGAGCAGGTTAAATTCATTAAATCCACTAAGATAAACACTCACTGGCTCTTTAGGTTGAAGACTGAGAGACTAATTGAATTATCACTGATGAATCCTTTATGTAGAGAGGTAATAATGATATGCAGCTTTAAATAGTGTTTTAAGATCTACAAAGCAGTTATCTCAGTTATCCTCACAACAATCTTGTGAAGTAGGTGCAATTGTTATCTTCATTTTATAGATCCCCATTTTACTGGGGCAGGCAGAGGTTAAATGACTTACCCAGGATCACACACAGTTATTGAGTGTCTGAGACAGGCTTTGAACTCAGGTCCTGTTGATTCTAGCAGTCCCTCCACTGCACCTCCTGGTTGCCCAAGTTGATGCTCTGACTGTGCCTTCTGCCTTGTACTTGAGTTGCTAATGTTTTGCACCCGAGTTTTGGGGCTACATTTTTATTTTTCTCTTTCCAGCCCACTCTAGCCTACTGCTCCCCCTGCCATTTTTTACTTTAAAAGGCCAAGATCTCCCCTACTGCATCCTGGGCCATCTCCAGTTGTCCTGATCTATCCCTTGCCACTGGACCCAAATGGCTCTGGAATAGAAAGTGAGGCTGGTGACTTTGCACAGCCCTCCCTCCCTTAAATCCTATTCACTTGCAAGTCATGGCATCATCTTCCTGATGTCATGGTTCTCTTCGAGAATGAAGGACAAACAACAACTGCCCTATTAGTAGAATATCATTTGGAATTGTTTTTCCATTAACAGTGGTAGGTTTGTGCTGATTTATCCACATTCTTTTACTTAACCTCGTGATCAAGGGCACACATTTTCAAGATAGCTGGCTAGACTTAAAACTGTAGCCTATAAGCATACAAAGGAGCACAGTTAAGCGCTGTTTGGAGGATTGAACATGTGGCCTTAGACTCCCAGCAAGGTGCTGTAATCAGTTGTAACCATGATTTAGCCACAGACTAACTAGTACTACTTAGGCTTAAGAAGTCTCCACTTGATTTTAGAGGCAATTTTAGAGGTTGTCTAAAAATTAGAGCATTGTATTCTCAGTTAGCAGATTTTATATTCCAAGTCACTTAAACCCATCTTTTCGATTTTGTCTCTCTAAAATGGTATGAAAATACTCATCAGATAGAAGACCTATTTGCTGTTTGCCTGTGCACAAAGTTATATGATTAGAGTGAATTTTGGAATGATCTTTACAGCTAATGTAATAGTATGGAATACTCTTTGTCTCTTTCTCCAGATGGGCTGTTAGCATAATTCTAAAGTGGTTCAGAATTGTGAGTAAGGCTCCAGCAACTTCACTTTGCATTAGCGAGATGTGTTATGAGGATAAATGAGAATATCTGTGATATCGCTTTTACTTTTCAAACATGTGGCTCTTACAAAAGTGTTTTTGCAGCTGTCATTGATAAGTAATTATTATTGCATTTCTGTTGTGAGGAAATTGGTCAAATTCCGGTTAGAGAATGATGCTTTAAGAAAAGGTGTCCTTGACTATATTTGCTCTGTGCTTTAAACTAATGAACCATTGCCTCCTGGTGGTGGACGATATTAGGACTAGATTTTCTTGAGGTGGCAATAGTTTTCAGATTGCCTTTGTCCTTGAATGTGCATAAGTTTCTCTATCATTAAAAACTTTTTTTCACCTTGTTTCCTTCTTCAGCCATAATTTCATTTCTTTATTTCTCAGTTAAATGGATGGAATGATCTTTGCTCACTTGTTTCCATTTTGTCTCTGTCCAATCTCTTCACAACCTTTTATAGTCTGACACTTGTATACACCATTACGATAAAGCAGCCCATTATTGGGAGGAGAACAGCAAGGCTCAGGGCCTTTTTGTTTTTGTTTCATGGACATGAAGAAGAGTGAATGATTCCCCCCCACCTTTTCACACCTTTGCCTCAGTCAAGGACCTCAAGCTTCTCATAATGAAAAGGATGCTTGCTAGATCTGGAAGCCTACTCTGTAGAAGCCTATGCAGCAGACAGTCTAGGATATTAAGAACCATGTTATTTGGGACTCATGGACCCCCAGAAATCATGTTTCTTTGGGATCTGAGTTTATTAGTGGCAGGTCAGCTACAGTAATCAAAATATTTTCTTTGTGCTATTACATAATCATAAAATTTAAAAGTAAGGCATTATTTGTACTTTTTTGAATGTATTATAAATTATAAAAATTACTCATTTTAATGATAATGGTAGATTTTAAGCATTTAAAGAAAATATTAGTAAGCCAGAAGATAATCCCATTCTGGCAAAATGTAGGATGCAGCACAATTGCATATCTGCATTTTTTTGGGTTCCTTTTAAAGAGAAAGTATCAGAAGAAATAGAAAACTCACAAACTCACAGATAATGAGTTTTAGGCTCCCAGAATTATATTTTCTATTGTATCTTAGTGAGGTGAAAGATTCAGAAATGGAAAAAAAAGCCCAAACCTTGGTTTTATTAATAGAAGAAACATGCAAGTGAAAGAGTTGTAAGCTAGTATATGTAAATGGAATGGGACTGCCATTCCAAAGAAACTGTTTCCTAAAAATAATTGTCACATGTAAAGCAAATGGCAGATCATTTAATAAAAAATAATGTTCCAATTTCAGTGCCAATTCTACGTGGATAGGCTGAACTTCTGATTCATAAAGGCCATGAATTTTGCAGATGTAGTTTAAAGTCATTATTTGGGGATATAAATTGGATTCAGATAAAATCCTTTGACCATTTAGATCCTCTGTAGATGAGTTGCCCCTTGCCAAAGACTGTAATTCTATGTCCTGCCATGCTGTTACTCAGCAGGAGTAATGAAATATTTTCTCACCCATCGAACTGAGGCTGCCAAATACTTCTTTCTTGGTGCTAAAATCCCTTATCTTCTAAATGTCCTCTAGGTAGTGGGAAAGGAAAAAAAAAACTATACCTAGAAGACCAAAATATTTCCACAGCTTCTGTCACCACAAGCACTGTGGGCTATGGATGTAAGTAAGATATTAATAGGAGTGTGAATCATGACCCAAATAAAGACCAGACCCAGATAAACACATTTATTGGTTAGACATATTAGATCAAAAAGAACTTTATAAGCAGAAGTCATCGAATTGAGCCTTGTAGTTAAGTACAAAACACAAGCCCTGAATCCATTTTTTATAAAAATCAAACAGCAATTTTCCCTGATATACGCATTGGCATTAAAATGAAGACGTCAATTTTTGCTACCCTCCTCACAATACATTGTTACTTATTCCCCAAGAATATTGACAAGAAACTGTCTTCCAGTATAACTAGCTTTCTGATTACCTACCATAGAGAGGAGAAACCTTTCTGATCGGGTCTTGAGTGAGACTAAATAATGCCTGTGGATCCCAATGACAGGTAAAAGGTATAAGTGGTGGAGAATGAGAAGAGAAGATGAAAAAGAAAAGAAGTGAGTGAGAAAAGCACATGATATAGAGGAAGACCACTGGATAGGCAGTCAGGAAATCTGAGGTTTTTTTCTCACCCTTGCATACAAGCTGCCTTTGTGATCTTGGTCAAAACATTTAATGTTTCCAGACACCATTTTCCTCATCTATGAAATGAGGGTGTTGGATTCTAAAATAGAGAAAGGAGACAGAAAGAGAAAGAAAGAAAAAAAAAGCTATGGGTGGCAAAGAATAGTGGAGTGCATCAAATAATTATCTCAAATTGCTACTACTGCTCTAAACTACAGCGATCAATTCTATTCTTAAAACTCTCTAGTCAGTGGGCAGCTGGGGGTGGCGCAGTGGATAGAGTACCAGCCTTGGAGTCAGGAGGACCTGAGTTCAAATGCGGCTTTAGACACATAATACTTACTAGCTGTGTGACCCTGGGCAAGTCACTTAACCAAGTTGCTTGGACAAAAAGAAAACACAAAATACCTCTAGTCAAGGAAATTAATAAAATTTCTAACTTTCTATTTTTAAATTATTTCTTACAGTAAAAATTCCTTATATTTCATATCAGTTTCTTGCTCTAAATATGTTTAAATTAATTCTGACTTTCAGAGTTGGAATGGATTTTTAAAAAATTTTTCTGTAAGGAGAATTTTCAAATTCTCTTCTAATTTTAGAAAGCAAATTTCGGTGGCCCCAAGATGCTTCCTTGCATATTAATTTCAAGGTGTAAAGCAACTTGATAAAAATACATTAGACTTTAGATTTATGTAAGTAGCTATGTATAATTAGAAGGACATATAGATAAACATATGTACCTATGTAAAAATTTCTTTTTTGAAACTGGAAATTTTATACTACATCTATATTGTCAATGAGTATAAAGATCATTTTGTAGCCCTTAATATTACATAGCCTTTTAATAATATTAATTTAAGAATTTACAAACTATAATTGATTTTAAGATTACTGGAAAGTATGAAACTAAGTTAAAATTTTCATTTAAAGTCCTCTAGAGCAGACTTTTTTCCTATACCAAATACATGTCACATTCAGTTTTCTTTATGAAATAAGCATTTAGAAATAGGTGAAATTACAACTATATATTAAGCTCTGGGATTTTGGAAGTTATATGGATAAAGGGGTGATGATAATGTGCTGTGTAAATTAAATGGGACAGTCCAAAGGAAAGTCTAAAATTATCAATAAAAATATATTTTTAGAATTATTCTGAAAAAAATTTTTTTCTTGTCACTGGCTTTGCAGGTGTTCACCTATATTATGTTGGAGGAGAAGTTTATGCTGAATGTGTAAGTGATAGCAGCATTTTTGTACAGAGCCGTAACTGCAACTATCAGCATGGCTTTCACCCAGCCACTGTCTGCAAGATCCCCAGTGGCTGCAGCCTCAAGATTTTCAACAATCAGCTCTTCGCCCAGCTGCTCGCACAGTCAGTTAACCATGGCTTTGAGGTAGTCTATGAGCTGACCAAGATGTGCACTATTCGAATGAGTTTTGTTAAGGTAAGGGTTGCTTTCTTTTCGACTTAGGAGACACACAAAAAAAGATAGCTTCTTTGACTGATGTGATAATTTGACAATCAGATTCCTGATGTAAAAGAAGAAAAAATGCGGGCATGGTCTATCATGCATCCTAGATTTGTGGAGAGTAGGTTTCAAAGGGTTGGGAGGAAAAGATTGAACTAAAATTCTATCGGGGAAGTTAACCTAGGGGAGATACAAAACTCCCCAAATATAATTCAGACGTTGCAAGCAGAAAACAATACAAAGAGGAAGATAAAGCTTTAAAAATACCATTGTAGCTACAAAGAAAGTCCTTCAACCAACTTAGGTTTAGAGAGCATGAATGCAAAGTCAGGTAAAGAAGGGTGAGTACAAGAGGGTGACATTATTCTGTCAGAAGAGTATTAATGATAATCAGATTATCTGAGGCTGATGACAAATGCTAAGGAAAACAAAAAAGAACTTTTCAACTAAATTAGGGGGGAAAGGAGGCCCAATGGAGAAATAGGATAACTGCCGAGGGTGGCAGTGATAATAAGTGATGCAGAGAAAGCAGAACTTAGCTCTTCTTTTGCTTCAGGGTTTGTTTGTATTTGTTTGTTTTTTGGTTTGTTTTTTTTTTTCCCGGGGGAAGGAACATCAGAGAAGGTGATTTTTGGATTGGAAAGGGCAGCACAAAAATGATTACTGGGGACTTGAAGTTCAAGATAAGGAGGGAGGTAGTAAGAGAGCAACTGTCTCTTCTTGAGGAGTTTAGGTCACCCTAGGCCTAGATAAATTACATCCCACTGTAGTGAGAGAACTGGGGCATTTGATTGTTACTCCTCTTTGAAAGATCCTGAAGAATGAGGAGAGGTAGAACAGGGCTGGAGAAGGGTAAATGTTCTCCTTATTTTCATAAATGAAAAGAGTAGATTCAGTGAACTGTATGCCAGTGAGCTTAACTTCAGGCCCTGGCAGAATTTGAGAATGTATTATTAAATGGATGGTTTGTGAATATCTAAAAATGGAAGTGAAAATCACTAAGTGCCAGAATGACTTCATCAAGAATAGGCCATGGCAAGCTCATTTTCATTTCCTTTTTTGACAAGGTTGCCAGACTGTTAGATAAGGGGAATGCTGCAGATAGAATTTACCTGGATTTTATTTAACAAAGCATTTGATGAAATCTCTTGTGTTGTCTTTGTTGACAAGATGGAGAGATGTATACCAGATGATAGAACAGTTAAGTAAATTTGGAATCTGGTTGAACAAATAGACTCAAGGAATAGTAATTAATTATACTGTTTGCTCAGAGGGAGTGCATTTGTGATCTACCTTGTGTGACTGAATATATTTGGCATTGATTTAGAGGCAAAGATTGTGAGCCTAATAAATGTCATAAGGTTGGGTATGATATAAAAAGATCATAAAAGGCTAGAACAATGAACCAAATCTAAAAAAGATGAAATTCAATACAGAAATATGTAAAGGCTCACGTGGCATTCAGTAAATAAGATTCACAAGTATAAGATGGGGAAAATGTAGGTAGACATAACCTTGATGGAAACTATTTTGGGGTATAGTTTACTGAAGGAGCAATATGTGTCAGCAGTGATGTGGCAATAAAAAAAAAGTTAATGCAATCTTATGCTGCACTAAGAAAGGTGTTGAATTGGCTGCACTTGGAGTGAGAAAGATCTGAGTTAAAATTCATCCTCAGATACTTGCTAACTATATGATTTGGGCAAGTCCCTGAACCTCTGTCTGTGTCATTGTTCTCATCTGTAAAATGATGATGGGGCAGTATGGTGGTACAGTGGATAGAGCACTGGGTCTGGAGAAAGGAAGACCTGAGTTCAAGTGTGGCCTCAGACACTTACTATCTATGTGATGCTAGGCAAGTCACTTAACCTTGTTTGCCTCAGTTTCCTCATCTGTAAAAGGAGCTGGAGAAGGAAATGGCAAACCATTCCAGTATCTTTGCCAAGAAAACCCCAAATGGGGTCACGAAGAGTCAGATACGGCTGGAAAACAGCTGAACAACAGCAAAATGATGATGATAGCACCTTAACCTCCCAGAGGTGGTGTGAGGATGACATGAAACAATGTTTGTAAACACTAAAGCACTATATAAATATAAGCTATTAATATTAGTGTCTAAAACATGGGAGGTGATAGTCATGCTATGTTCAAACCACACGTGGAGTATCATGTTTAGTTGTTGGTGTCACACCTTAGCAAAGTCATTGATAAGTTAAAGTTAAAGGATATCTAGAAGTTGATCTAGAGGCCATGTCATAAGAGAATTAGTACAAGAAACTGGGGATGTTTAACCTGCAAAGGAAAGGAAAGTGGCGACGTTAAGCTGTGTTCAAGTATTGAAAGGGTTGTAGTGTGAAGGCTTGTTCTGCTTAGCCGAATAAGGCAAAATTAGGAGTAATGGGTAAAGTTAGAGGGAAGCTAAGTAAGGTTTGATATGAGGAAATTCTTCCTTTGAAAATCAGGGGTGTCCAAAAGGAGATGGGCTGCTTTGAGAGGTGTTGGGTTCCCTCTCACACACAGACTAGATCATTGCTTGTTGGATTAGATGGCTCCTGATAAAATTTTGAACTTGGAGATTCCGTAATTCTTTGACCCCTCTGTTCTCTCTCTCTCATGGTTTTTTCCTGCTCTCTCTGATACTATTGGGGTAAAGTTGGGAGCTAGTTAAAGGAGTTGCCATTCTTTGAAATATTATTTTCCTGTTTTCATACACAAGTTTTATTTTGTCATTTTAATGCCTTTAAAAACCCTTCTTCACTGATAATTTCAAGAGAAATTTGAGAATAAGAAGCAAGACTTTAGTTTATACCAGTAAATTACTTCTTAATGAGCATTTTTTTGTTAGTGGCAAAAATAAAGGAACTTACTTTCTAGTCTTTGCACACAAATAGTTTTAAAGTGTTGAAAAGTTCCTGACATGGAAACATGCTGGCAGTTCTTAGCTTCCCTAGAGCCAGCAGAGGGCAGCACATGACTATTTCATAAGCATTCACTTGTACTGTTAAAATTATTTTTATAGTTCATTGTCCTTAGAACAACTAATATTAGTACACTGTAGTTAATTATACTATTATACATACTTAATAGTCTGATTTTCATAGGGTTAGCCAATGTGTTTCTTTGATATTCAACTTTTAGATTAATGTAATTATGTAACTCAGATAATGGACTACTCATGATTGGAAAAGCAATATGTTTTATAAACACGAACTGTCAGGCACCAGTGATTAAAGCAACAACAGCAACGATAACAAAACCAGATGGCTAAGTATACTTCATCATCCCTAATAGTGGGGGTTGGGGACTACACAGTTAATTGAAATCTACTAGAAATACTGAGACTTTATCTCAACCAATGTTTTAAATCACCACCCCAAGGAATTTTTCTTTAACTGTATTATACTGATTTCAAGCAAATTGACTTGCTTGAGGTTTTGTCATTTGTCTACACTATGGTTATTGATAAACACAGAATGGCCAAAAGGCAGTCAGATTGTTGAGGTCTAGGGGTGTTGGGAACCTCAAAATTCAAGGGCATATGACATGGGTCCTGCTCCACATGAATTCAACCCAAGCCTTCTTTTCAGCCAGAGATAAGGTTTATTAAAACACTGGTGGGAGTGGGCAAGATTTTAAGAATTCACCCATTTGTGACACTTGTATTGAAAACCAGGCCAGATTCCTAAGGAATTTGAGCACCTTAAAGGAGGCAAGATAGACCTTTTATAGAATAAGACTGTGGGAAGATCTGGAAGGGAGTGGACAGTAGGCAGGGATGACTGGGAGGTAATGTAGAAGGACCTGGAAGGTCTGGGTGCCCCAGGTGAATGCCAGGGACCTGGGCCACATGGGAGAGGTCTAGTTGTAATCAAGGAGTAGTGGTCTAGCGTGGGGCCAGGTGCAGAGAATGAGGGCTGGGCTGGGTTAGAGGTAGAGAATTGGAGATTGGGGCAGGGTCAAAGACACAAAGCAAGGAACTGAGAAGGGGGTTGGGTACCCCAGGTGAACGCCAGGGACCTGGGCCATGTGGGAAAGTCCAGGGCCTTTTAGGGGTCCATCATTAGCACCCCATCAAGATGAAAGAGAAATAAAGGACCTGGGCAATCTATAAATAGGAAAGTACACCTTTGAAGGTCTGAGCTGGCTACAACTCTGACCTTGTAACTCCAAGATTTTGTTATTTTAGTGTAACAGAGGTGGCCAGTGGAGGGTCAATGGTCTTAGCATAACAGAGGATGTCCCCAAAGCCTGAGCTAGTAAAGCTTAAAACTGAAGTAAAGCTTTGGGGGCATCCTGTATTCCCTGCCTGGTCCAGTCGAAATTTTCACATGATTTCTTGGACTGGACCTAGGCAGGGAATATGCAGGTTCCAGAGACTGTTTCCCCATTGGCCAGGCTGCCCCCATCATTACATTAATCATACATTTCAAGCTTAGGGGGTCATCTAAACCACTGTCAAACTTACCTGTATCAGCCTGAGCCAGAATAAAATGTAATTGGGAAATGTTTAACAAAATAAAAATATAACATCGATAATATTTGTGGTTTTCTACTTCAGTATGTGGCCAACAGGGATCTATTTCTGTTTGAGTTTGAAACCACTGATCTAAACCTACTCCCTCAAATATTTTTTGTTTTATTTATTCAACAACTCTTTGTTTAATACTATATAGCACAATGCCTGGACTTTAGTAGATGCTTAATAAATGTTTATTAGTTGATTGCAACTATATACTCTTTGTTAGGTTTGAAAAGGGATACAAATAAGTGCAAAATATGTTCCTTTGCTCCAGAAGCTTACAGTTCATAAGACAATAGGCCTAAAGCAGGAAGGGATCTACAAGGATTTTTTTTACAGCTGAGGAAATTGAAACCCAAGATCACTCAGGTGGCAAAGCCAAGATCTGAACTCAGATCCTCTGACTTAAAAATCCTTTGCTTGTGGGGGTGTTTGGTGGGAATCTGCCAGCTTCAGAATTTCGAATAGAGACCACAAGGCAAGATGATATATAGAGAAAAGAGTGCTCTATAAATGCCAGCTAATGACCAAATCAGAAATAATCACCTTTCCCTGTACTTCTGGTTTTCAGGGCTGGGGAGCTGAATATCACCGTCAGGATGTCACCAGCACCCCCTGCTGGATTGAGATTCATCTTCATGGACCATTGCAGTGGCTGGACAAAGTTCTGACACAGATGGGTTCACCACATAACCCAATTTCTTCAGTATCTTAACAGTGATCTCTAAAACTACCCTTCTAATAGAATAGATGCTATTGCAGGCAGTGACATATCATTTCATATTTGCAATTAACTGAAGTTTCTAAATATATATGTAAATACAAATTATATACTAGCCATATTTTTTTTTTCACAATCTGTTTTGTGCTTTCAAGTTAGAAGGATGCCAGTACAATGAAATTAGAAAGTCAGATTTATTGTGTCTGTGCTATGTTAAGAAGCAGCTTTTGTCAGAGGAGAAATGAGGGACATTGTGTCAATAGCTTTTGTAGGATATTGCTAGAATGAGAAAAGCAGCTGCTGTCTGTCATATTACTGCAAGACATGGGGAGTATTCTGGGTCAGTGGAATATTTTTAACTGTTTATACAGAAAATATATGGTACTAGCAGCACCCAGGCAAATAACATTTTCAAACAAAACAAAATACCCAAGTTCACATATTTTAAAATGATTCCACTATTAGTGCTATTGGCAAGAACAAATCAAACATATAAAATGAATTTTACAAGATAAAGTCATGTAGACATCTTTTGTTTCTGAAATAGGACTATTCATAACTAGACTATTCAGCTGATATTAATGGTACATTTTAAAAAGAATTTAAGTTATGATGGGAAAAGAGACAGGAACTGTGAAGTTTAGAGTTATGTTTTAATGTAGTCCATCATGGTAGAGTTTCTTCTCTAAGAAGCAATTTCTAATGGAGGAAATGGACAGAAAAATAAGTTGCTAAGAACATGACATGGCTTGGGTGATAGTAATAATAATTCATTTATATAGCACTTTAACATTTACAAGGTACTTTTTTCACAATAACACTGTGTGGTAGTTAGCAAAAGTGTGCCTGTTTTACAGATAAGGAACAAAGGCTCAGACATAAGTGATTTGCTGGGGGCCAGGAACATGTTAATAAATCAGATGGGATTTTGGCTCTAGAAGCCATTTTTCACCTGGGAAATCCCTCCTTCATGTGTTTGTAGGTATTTGGACCAGGTCCTCTTAATTTATCTTGCCATTGGGAGTGAATAACAGTTGTCATGGGAGGAGACAGAGCAATAGCTAGGTCCCAAAAGAAGGTCTGTACTTCCATTGCCATGGTACAGCTTCCAGGAGGCCAGTCCTTTTGACCTGATCTAATCGTGAAGCAGGGTGGCCTTCCAGACTGACTCATCTGCTCACCTGACTCACCTGCTCACCTGACTGCTGCGGCCTCCATCTCTTGCCATGATGCCTAAAAACTTCACAAATAAAATGTTAATTGCTTCCGAGTTCCCTTGAATTCTTATAGGAGGGAGTGCTGAACAATGGAAGATCTTTTAAAAACTGTATACTGCAGAATGCTCTCACTTTCTAAGTATGAAAAATAAGAAATATTTATGGAAAAAAAAACACCCGCTAAGCACTGCATCATCTTGGAAATATTTTTCACAAATGCTTGAAAATTATATTTCAGAACTAAAAGAAACCTTAGAAATCTTGTAGTTTAATTTCTTCATTCTATAGATATGGTAAAGCCAGAAAAGTGAAGTTGCCCAAGGCCACATAGCCAGCAAGCAAGAGAACCAGGATTTGAACTCAGATCTTCTGACGTTGAGTTTAATAATCTTCTCAGCACATCATGCTGCCTCCATTGGTCATACATTTTAAGCGGAGACCACCAAGTCCAGCCGTAGCATTCAGCTGGTTCCCCATTTATATTATTGTGCCTGTGGAGCCACCTCCCCTGCCCCCCCCTTCCAAATGCTCCTTTGTCTAATAATAACACTGATAACAGATAACATCCTGTGTTGCTTCAGATTGACAAAGTAGTGTACGTACCATCATCTGATCCTTCCGTTGGCCCTGTGAGCTACTTAGGAAGGGTAGACTTATTGTTTTCATTTTACTGGCGAAGAAACTGAGGCTTGGGGAGATTAAGCAGCTAGTTCAAGTCCACAACACTAGTATGTGGCAGAATCGGGATGTGACCCCAAGTGTTTCCTCACCCCAGGACTCTTTCAGCTTCACATTGTTGAGCATCATATTTTCAAGGAACTAATTACTGATGTTAGGCAGGCAGGCTGTGCCTCTAAGGTTGGATTGATAGTTATGGTGAAGGAAGATACTTTTGTCAGCAGGCTGTTTTTTCTGAACTGTTTCCAATAATAATGCATAGGCGAGTTAAGTGCTATTAAATCAAGGGTCCTTAACCCTTTTTGTGTGTCATGGACCCCAATGGCAGCCTCGTAAAGCCTAAGGACCCTTTCTGAGAATCATGTTTTAACATGCATAAAATAAAATATATAGGGTACAAAGGAAACCAATTATGTTGAAAAACATAAATGTATTTTTTAAAGTTTGGAAATAACAGCCCTGTAGTAAATTATATTAAAAATAAGTGTCATATATAGTATATATGTATTTATATGCATATATATATATAATCTCCAGTTATCTATGCAAGAAACATTGTCATTTAATATGGATAATGTTATTTGAAACTTATTGCATCAATTAAATCATCTTTTTACATTGAAGTTAGGCTTCTATTTACTGTTTAGTCAACTAATGAAAAAAGTTTGAAAAGCAATCTTCCTATTTTAAAACTCTAAAATAATCATTTTATTAAAAAGAACAACTTATAACATTCATTTCCCCCTTCCTTCATTTTCATATTTTGGGGGAATTCTGTTTCCAGTATTTTGGAATTCTACAAAATAAGTACAGCCATACCACTCATATAAATGCCCTTACACAGATGAGTCATTAAACTTGTTATAAGAAGCAGAGCAATTAACTTAAACTGGCTACTCATAATTGTTTATTTTTAAATATTTTTGGCTTTCATGTAGTTACCTAGTACATAGTGTACACTAATATAGCACTTTCCAGCTTACAAAGCACTTTTATCACCATAATTCAGTGAGGCAGGCAGTATGAATTATTTCCCCCACCTGAGCTGGAGGGTGCAGTGGATAGAGCACCAAGTCTGGAATCAGGAAGACCTGAGTTCAATACGGCTTCAGACAGCTTACTAGCTGTGTGACCCTGGGCAAGTCACTTAACCCTGTTTGCTGCAATTTCCTCATCTACGTGACATGTAAAATGAGTTGGAGAAGGAAATGGCAAACCACTCCTGTATCTTTGCCAAGAAAACCCCAAATGGGGTCACAGAGAGTAAGACATGACTGAACAACAATAACAACAACAAATCGATGAACTGAGATTCAGAGTGGTTAAACAATTTCTCCAAGGTCTCATAGCTAGTGAGGTATAGAGTTGAGAGTTGAACTGAAGACTTCTGTGTCTGAGCTTCAGTGTTCTTTCTATGACATAAAAATGACATGTCACTTTTGAAACTTTCACAATAATACGCCAAAGATACGTGTGGGACTGGACCTGTGTGAGGCAGAATGGAAAGCTGTAGTGGAAAGATCACTACATTTAGAGCCAAACGCTCTAGTTTCAAATCTCGGTTCTGCTGCTTTATTTTTGTGTGATTTTACTTCTTGGGATCTGAGCTCAGTTTTCTCGTCTATAAAATGGGGGCAGGGAAAGAGTTGGAATAGACGAGCTAAAAGGTCCTTTCCAGCTCTAGATCCTATAACTTCTGCAGCAAAGAAATGAGATTACCAAATTGGTATCTAAAGGGGTTGAAATTCCATCTAGTCACTTTTGGCCATCAGTCAGGATGGATGAGAAATACAGAAGATTTAATTGTTTTTTGCAACCCAGTAATTATAAACCAGTATTGATATTCGACCCCAAATAAAATTCCCAATGCCCTCCTTTCAAGTCAGGCTGCCCCCCCAAGTATAATAACCACTCTTGGAGGGGCACTACCAAAGGTAGGTTTTTGTAGATTACCATTTTAAGCATTTCTCTGAATCAGTAATTCAGAGTAAGCTTCAGGTTGCTATGGAAGAACAGCATGTACCAAGAGAAAATAATGATATTTTGACCTGCTCACAGCACTCAGAGTGTTTATCCTGTGGTGCAAGTCGGTTATTTTCCTGTTAAGAAATTGGGATGAAGTATTTGTTTGTGGCAGGTGATATTTTAATAGTTGCCAGTGCTTTGGAACTATTAAAGTGCCACTTTTAAACACAGTTGCTTTCAACTTTTATGCTTGTTGTAAATCACAGAAAACACAAAAACACACAAAAAACCAAGAATGTAGAATTCCTGTATTTTTAGTGTCTTTAAGGAAACTGGTTGTTCCCATAGCAAAAAAAAAATAGATGAAAATATGCAGTGGTCCTTGTTGAACCTTTCAGTCAGGCCTGGGGTGCTGGCATTCCTGTGTCACTGGGACTGCATCCCTAGAATTTACTCCATATATACTGGTTGAACTAGAAACTAACTATCACGCCAAACTCGTCTTTCCTAACAATATTCAATTTAATGACAAGAGGAGGTGATCCTGTACAATGTTGTGTAAGTTAAAATTAACGCCAAAACCTGAAAAGCTGTTTCCATTTAGGTATACTAGAACCTTTGGCTGTAGCAGCTAAGTGTAGCTGGCCTTCTAAGTGCATATGTGATCTGTCGATCTGATAGTTTATGAATAAAGAATATTGTATCTCTATGTTTTCCGATTTCTTTTGTTCCCATTCTTACTGAAAGCACTCTCTGCCAAGCAATTGGATAAAATATTCAATGCCAACTGAAGATGAAACCACCCTTTTATAGAAATGGGTCAGAATTATAATAGCTTTCATTTATGTAACACTTCACAGTTGCAAAGCACTACCTACATAAGACCTCTGTGAGGTAGCTAGGTCAAGTAATATCTCCATTTTACAGATGTGGAAACGAAGGTTCATAGAGATTAAGCTTAAGGGAACACAGTTTATAAGTGGCTGAGTCAAGACTCAAATTTAGCTCATCTGCCTTGAAGTTCAATGGTGTGGGGTGTTCAGGAGGACTACCACCTTTGGTGTGAGGGCTTGCCCGGCCCTTTTCAGTGCTAATCCACCTTTGGTGTTCACCTGATTAATCCAACTTTTACCTATGGCTTCAAGAAGCTGTAGCATGCACAGTGGCTGCACCCCCATACACCACCTCAGCAGATGAGCTAGACCATTTTGAAGGTAGTAACCAGTAGGCCTCAAACCTGTTGATGCCCCAAGTATTTGAAGACTTTTCCCTGTCAAATGGGCAAATGAGAATTTGTTTCAATGGCTATGAAGATGGCTGAAGCTGGCACAGTGGAGCACTTAGACTGGTCAGACACTGAAGATGCCAAGATCATCTACTGCATCCTAAGCCATCACTAGTCATCCTAACTTCTGTCTTACTACTGGACTTAAGTGACTCAGGAGGGGAGAGTGAGGCTGATGACTTTGTGCAGCTCTGCCTCACTTAAATTCCAACTCACATGCAAGTCAAGACATCACCATGTGATGTCATTTGTGCTTTTCAAAATGAAGGACAAACAGTACCACCACAATAAGCTGATCTGTGTGTATGTGTGTAGTACTACACGGGGTGGTAGTGGGTATTTCTTTAATGATACACATTTTACTTTTAAGAGTCAAAAATCAACTTAAGTTTTAGAATAGTAAGAACAGAATTTGGAGGAGGGTAATACATTCACAGTAACTACCAAGAGGAAATTTAGAGAAGCTTGTATAACCTTAGCTCAGTGTGGTAGCAAATGTAAAATGGTATTACAGTTGTATAGGGATAGGATCATGGATTTAGAACTGAAGAAGACCTTAGAGGTCATCTGGTCCAAATCGTAATTTTATAGCTAAGGAAACTGAGGACCTCGATTTATACATCCAAGGTCATACAGGAAGTAGCAGAGTTGAGATTCAAACCCAAATCCTGTGACTTTAATTTCATCTTGCTCTTTTTGTTACATGGTTCTGTGTCCAAGTGTCAATCAGATATCTTAAATGTTTTATATACCACTTTACTACTCCGTGTTAATAATTATCAACATTTCTGTGAAAAAGAGGAAAAGTATGTGAATAAAGTGGTAATTTTTGTTCTTTCATATTCATAATTTTTTTTCTAGTTTGAAAATAAGGGGTAAATATTTTGGAAGATTTTTAGAAGAAATTTCAGCATCTTCTCAATTGCTTTCTAAGGACAAGATCCTTATCTTATTATTTTTAGTATTCCCAAGAGAGTCTAGCACAGTGTCTTAAGCATAATGATAAATATTTGTAGATTGTTCATTTTGTTATTGACATTCAAAGTTTAATATAAAGTTCAATATGATAATGCTTAGACTTCAGTATTTCAATGGATCTGTCATTTCATGGATATTGTTACTCCCTCAAGCAGTTGAGACAGCAATGCATTTGTATACATGTTCTCCAATAAATTGTCCATAAGGGATATGCCCAGTGTGCTGAAGGACTTCCTCTAGATCTTTTAATAGGAGATAGATACTAGGACAACATTTAAACTGCCATCCTTAACTCTTACTCTATGACTGGCATGCATATTTATGCTGCATATTATCTCTTATAGCACTATTTGTGAACAGCTCATCATTAACAATACGCTGCAAGCTACCTACATCAACTACCCTCTGGGTCACCTTCAGTATTGTTCTTTGGCGGTTATGGTGTCCATTACTTCCAGCCATATAGCATAACTGGGAGAATGTTGATGTTAAAACGACGGGTTTCCATGTCAGAATGCAGCTTGGGATTACTGCAAGCTCTCTACAAGTTTGCAAGTGAATTCTAGCTCATTCTCTTCTTCCCATTCCCAGCTTATTGTCTACCAGATATATTTATTCAAGGTCTGGATATTAATACACTAACTCAATGATCTGACCATATAACTGCATATCATAATCTAAGCAAGAGGCATTCTTCATCCATTTGGTTCTTTTGAATAGTTATAAATTTCACTGTGAGAAGATCCTGTAGAACTATGGGGTTTGATGCAATCAAAACAATGTCATTCACAAATAGCAACATCTAGAGTAGTGGTTCTTAAACCGTTTGGTCTCAGGACTGATTTAAACTCTTAAAAATTATTGAGAATAGTAAGCAGATTACAGCAACTTATCACAAGAATAATACACTTATGAGCAGGTAGGATTTATACCAGGAATGCAGGGCTGGTTCAGCATTAGGAAAACTATCAGCATCATTGAGCATATCAACAACAAAACTAACAGAAACCACTTATCATATCAGTAGATGCAGAAAATGCTTTTGACAAAATAAAACACCCATTCTTATTAAAAATACTAGAGAGCATAGGAATAAATGGAGTCTTCCTTAAAATAATAAATAGTATCTACCTAAAACCTTCAGCAAGCATCATATGTAATGGGCATAAGCTAGAAGCATTTCCAGTAAGATCGGGGGTGAAACAAGGATGTCCATTA